ATCAATTGAAAAGAGAGAGAGAGAGAGAGAGAGAGAGTAAAATCAATTTTAAATACTGTTTTAAACTCTTAATTTAAATTCAATTTATATCCTATTCTGTTTTTAATTTATTTTTTGTCATAAATATTTGTAATTAATTTTTTGTTTATGATTTGGATAGATTTATCAATTCATGGATTTTGGGTTCCAACCCTATTCTGTTTTTAATTCAATTAATTAATTTAAATTCAATTTATATCCTATTCTGTTTTTATTTTATTTTTTTTGGTCATAAATATTTGTAATTAATTTTTTGTTTATGATTTGGATAGATTTATCAATTCATGGATTTTGGGTTCCAACCCCAACAACCCTATTGTTGCCCGAACCCAATGGCTGATGAATTTCTGAGCCAACATTAATCATCATCTCTCTCTCTCTCATATTTTAAATTTCTAATCATGTTTATCTCTCTCTATCTCATCTTTAAATTTCTAAATCATGTTTATGTCTTGTTTTAATTCCTGATATATAGATCCTATAATCTTATGGTCATGTTTGATTCACAAGACTAATAGTGAAGTATTAATAATCCTATTAAATTAGTGTAGTATTCACTATCCAATTAGATTAATTTCTATTGGATTAATAATCTCACCCCTACCCCATTATTAATAATCTTACAAATTTGTTAGATTAATTATCCATTGGATTAATAATCGTAAACCAAAATGTTAAAACAAACATAGGATACTTGGGTCCACGGATTAATAATCTCAATCTCATACTCTAATCCACCCAATCAAACATGCCCTAAAGGTGCTAAAAACTTTACGAAACAAGATAAAAATCCAATCGGAGTTGGAGATCACTCAAGTCTCCCAGCCAAAAGGGTTTAATTAGAATTTTGAAGTCCTACTTGGGCTACTTTCTCAAGAGATCAATTCTCAAGTCATGTTCACTTATGAAACTATTTTTATTAAGTAAAATTATTTTTTTTTTTACAAAAATAGTATTTTAGTCATTATATTCAAGGTAAATGTATATAAAAAAAATTAAAATATCCTATTCTACTGAGTTTAATAACCAAAATACATTTTTTTTAATTAGTTTCACTTAACAAAAATAGATAAATGATTTAAATTGAAAACAAATAAAAGATTAGAATCTAAATTGACAAAATTAAAAAATCAAAATTTATTTTGTTACAAGACCCAAACCCTAAGTTTTTTTTTTTTTCTTTTGTAATTTCCCAAAAAATATATATAGTTTTTATGATTTAAATTGCTCAAACAAAAAAGAAAAGAAAAGAAGGAGCACCTATTAGTAAGTCCCATAAACCTATCTAATCCCAAAACAAAATACTTGTACTAATTAGTCTTACATATTTTAATTGTTACTAAAACTCCTTTTTTTTTTAATTATAAATTATCCCAACACTGTAATTTTATTATTTATCAAAAAAAAAAAAGCTGATTAAACCATGAAATTCAATTAAACCATGAAATCCAAAATGAAAATATAAGGGATTATACAGGAAAAAAAAAATGAGGGGGAAAAATTATGATTGGTGAATGGTTGATTACAAAAAATTATTAAAATTATCACAAGTGGTCTCATATTAAAATTATATCTTTAGCTATAATCAACGAGGATAATTATGTTATATTTTTTAAAAGTCATTAAGTTATTAAGTTATTTTGTTTATATATGTATATATTTGATGTAATTTTTTCTCGTAATTGTGATTGAAAATAATTTATAAATGTTTAAAAGAGTTAATCAATTTTTTTCATCTTATACAACATGATATCAAACATTTTAATACATACTTTTAAAATAAATTTTTTAAAATAGTTTCATACACTGCACTAAAACAAACCATTAATGAGAAAGTGAATACAATGACAGCTTAAGTTTGTACCCAACATTTTATATAATTTAAATACAAGATACAATATTTAAATTTGAGTATTGATCTTTCAATGATAGAGCTCAATAAAAAAATTATTACAAAAATAGTACTTATTTAATAATATATTAGGTTAAAAAAATAAAAATAATAATGTCAATTTTTGCTTAAAAAAGTAAAAAAAATAATAAATACATAAAACAGTAAACTAGTTTGGCAATATTAGCTTATTTAAAATACAAAAGTAAAAAAAATATTTTATTAAAATAAAAAATAATATGTTGAAAGGCCATTTTATTCTCACTTGTCATATTTCCTAAAAAAGTACAAACCTAATAAAGAATAATAGTCATTTTGCTAAAAAAAAAGTCAAGAAAACAAACATCACTTGAAAAATCAAACAAATAACTAAAAAAAAACTCTTAAAAAATTATCAAACGCATAAGTTTTTTAATAAATACTTTCTAAATTAAAATGCATTACTTTCTAAATTAAAATGCATATTTGTCAAACCCCATTGTGTTTTAAGAGAACTGTTTCTATTTGGTTTGATTTTTAAAATTTATTTTTAATTAAAAAAATAATTAAACAAAAATAAACACTAAAATATATTTAAAAAATTTTAAAATTTATTTTAAATTCATATAAAAAAAACATTTTTCATCAAATTAGTTTTAATCTTTTTTTAAAAAAAAATGTTTTGTTTTAAATAGATTCTGGAAATCAAAATCAAAATAGAATTGTTAAATAATAAACAAACTTATTTAGATAACTGTACTTATTTTATTTGAGTTATATCACTTTTCTATTTCTTTATATATATTTTTATAAAAAAATTAAAAAATATATTTATTTTAAATCCCAAATAACCAGGTGACTGTGAAGAAGGGTAGAAGAAGAAAAATGTTAGGATCACAAATATTTTATCAAATATCTAACATGGGTATGGGACCTACACCATGTAGTTCTCGTATGAGTTCCACACCCATATAAGAAACTTAATAAAATATTTAAGATTTCTAACATCAAGCTTATAAGACATTTACTCATTGTGCAAAATGATTAGGATGGCTCCACTTGCCAACTCACATACACCTCCGAAGTTCTAATTTGGAAAATGCTAAAACCAGTATGTCAATGTTGAAATATATATATATATATATATATAATTGATTGAAATACGTAAAAGAAATTAACAAAAATAATTTGAGATATACAAAGTTTGTATTAAAATTAAAAATAATTTGAAATTTATGTAATTTTTATTGCCAACTGTTAAGGAATATATACGGTATATATATAATTTTTTATACTTAAATATATGTATAAATGATTTTGTTAATTTTTTTTCCGAAATGGATAGGGAAACTCTCCCACTTCAAACATGGAGGGTTCATAGCCTAATTAGACTAAAACAACTTGAAAAGAAAAAAAGAATTGACATAAAAATTAAAGAAATTTCATTAACAAAACAAAACAAAGAATGTAACTTTCATAGGCTTTGCCAAACAAAAAATCTCCGTAAGAGATGTCAAGGATGTTAGTTCAAAGTTGTGTCCATTTATTTGTAGTGTCACTAATGTCAACTTAGTTCATACATGCATCAAAAGAAATTAATGGGCAAAACCAGGGAAAGGCAATGCATGATATATATATATATATAATTTTTATAATTCTCTCTCTTTTTTTTCGTCACCACTTCCACTCTTACCTTCAAGAAAAATTCATCAAGTAAGAAGCAAAGTAAGAATTTGCATCTCTTTTACCTAACAAATGAAAATAGGTAAAATTGGACCACATTCGTTAGTGAAAATTGGACCCCATTAGTAGTATTCACCACCAAACCTATGCCTTTCTTTCTGGGGACATACCTTGAAGTTGACACAACTGCAATGCTATCTTGAATTTGATAACACCTATTGTTTTTTTATTTAACCTTAATCATCATGCTTAGTGAGAAAACAAGAGTCAAAAAGTTAAATATGAAAAGGAGAGAGGAGTTAGACCACAGTCACCTGCAGCCGCAGGCCAAGAGTGGGAAAAGGATCAATGCATCCAGCCATCCATAAGGCTCCACATATATATATATATTATAGTTTAAAAAGGTCTGTGTAGGATATAGACTATTATTATAGTATATTTAAGTTTTATATTTTGATAATTTTTTTAAAATTAAAATATTGCTCTATAAAACTAAATAGAATAAATCATTAGATATATGATAGAATTATGTGTATGATATGTATCATTTTTTAATTTATTGATATAAACTCCAATTCTATTACCTTATCATTTTTGGTAAATTTATAAATCTTTAACATTTTTTCCAAATTTATAAAAAAAAATTTTGGTGTATAGTTTTTCTCAACAGATAAATATAAAACAAATACTAAGATAATTCTCTCGTCTAAAACAAATTACTAAGATAATTCACTGAACTAATAAAGAAGTAGAAGAAAATACATATATATATATATATATACAAATGACCAATTTTCTTAATACATAAATCATACTCATATAATAAATGACCAAATTTCTTAATAAATAAATCATTAAAAAAATTAAAAAAATTTAATAATATAAAAAATATTTTCCAGTTAACCATTTTGTTAATAAATAAAGCATTAACAGTTTTTAATGATATGAGAAATATTTTTCAATAAACAGTTTTGATAATTTATTATTTCATACGAGAACAGTTTTTTTTTCCTCTAAATTAAAATTTATAACAAATGATAACTGCAATTTCTAATATTCTGAGACTAATTCATATTTTAAACAAATCTTACGAGTGTATTTGTAATTTGTTAAAAAATAAAAGATTCATATTTCATAATTGACCAAAAATGTTTGCATAATAAAATATTTGAGATTTCTAACATCACGCTTAGAATGACAACCGTGAATGATAGAATCACATTGGGGATAGTGACGTGGAATAAAATTGGGACTGGTAGGATGAAAAGAGGATGAATTAGTGGGTAACAAACCAACCGATTGACGCCAGCCTGGCAAATTACACATGATTGAATGTGGGTCCCATTTCCCGGCCAATAAGTTATTGGGTGGTGTTTTGGGAAGTTGGTAAAAAGCTGACTTTTTGACTTTTTTGACAAAAAAATGGGTTGTTTTGGGTAAAAAAGCTAAAAAAGTTAAAAAGTCAAAAAACTGGTTTTTTACCATTGTTTCCAAAAGACTCCTGGGTGATTTTGAGCACTCATGTCGTATTCTAACATGATTATGATTGGTAAATGAAGTGAAATTCATAAATTTATGTTAAATAATTAAGGGCTAGTTTAAAATATTTTTAAAAAGTCAAAAAATTATTAAAAAAGTTAAAAAGTTATCACTATTCATCCAAGAAAATATAAAAAAAATTAATTTTACAAAAAAAAAGTACAACTCACATGTCACATGAATTGTACTTTAGCTGTCCACCGTTTGTACAAAGAGAATATGTGGAGAAGCAAACAAGACGGTGTTGTTCGGCTCGTGGGGGCCCATCATGGGTTCCGTTTTGATAATATGAATCGTTAAATGTGTAGAAATCGTCGAATACTATATGTCTGTAAAAAATCACGTTGATCGGATATCGCTAACTACATGATCAAATTAGTTTTATATAAAAAATGGATAGTGTTATAGTTAACGGTTGACAAAAAACTAATTCGATCAGATAGCTATCGATATCCAATCAATGTGATTTTTTACAAGCATATAGTACTTGACAAGTTCTACGTATTGAACGGTTCTGATTAGCAAAATAGAACCCGTGGTGGGACCCCACGAGCCGAACAACACTGTCCAATTCAATGCCCGAAAATGAGGCAACCATCTCCTATACACTACTCTGCACACGCTGCTAGCTAGGACATCCACCGTACTGCTTATTCTATTCTATGCTTCTTCTATACACTAATTTATATACTTGTTTTGCATGTGTCTCTTGTATGTTGTGTCCTGCATTTTCTAAAAATTTGTGTGCCAGTGTGTATGTGTTGTGTCATGTGTCTATATCCGTGCTTCTTAGCTTCTAATAGTACAAGAATAACAGGAGTTTTTTTGGTGAACTATTACATTTTGGTTTCTTGATCAGGATGCATCACATTACGAGGTCGTTGAACCCCTACCCTCATATGGTCGAGGAATTGAACTTCCCGGAGGAAGGTATAGAAGCTTAATAAATGGATATATGTTGGACGATGTGGTAATAACAGGTAGAGTACTCCCAACTTACATTGTCAAATTCAACTAACAAATGCTTTGTTTGGCCGTTTTTAGTTTTGTATATCTCATTTGATCATTCTCACATTCATTGCACTAGGTGATAATGGAACCATTGACGGACAAGGCTCGGTTTGGTGGGATTGGTTCACCTCACATACCTTAAATTATAGCCGACCTCATCTTGTTGAATTTATTGATTCCAAGGATATTGTAGTGTCAAACCTAACTTTCCTCAATGCTCCCGCATTTAATATTCATCCTGTCTATTGTAGGTGAGTTGACTGAACTTTTTTATGACTTTTGAGTTGGTTTTTTAAATTTTATTTAATAATTTTTAATTAATTTTTCGAATGAGAATTTGGAGTTAAATTAGAATATCTGGATTTTATGCAGCAATGTGCATGTTCAGAAAATTTCAGTCTACGCTCCACCAGAATCACCTTACACTATTGGCATTGTACCAGGTATAGACGATGATCCACACATTCATTTCTTTTCTTTTCTTTTCTTTTCTTTTCTTTTTTCATCTTGTGAAGAAATTACGTGTTCACCTAACATATGTTTTTTATGTACTCGGGTGCCCTTTAATTCTTCTTCTTCTTTCTTTTATTTTTTTATAAATTATAATTTCATTAAAAAGGCATTTAGGGAATGCCTCACTTTTTCTTTTTTTTATATTTTTAAATTTTTACAACTTGTTCAGTTTTCTTTCTCTTCATCTACTTATTTTTTGGTCAATTAGTAAAAGATTAATTGATTGATACTGCCTTTTAATTAATGTTTCCTTCGGTTGCTGAATTTTGTGTTTATGAAAAGCAAGTTTAAAAATTTTCTCCTTTCCTATGATAAAATTATGTTGTTACAGATTCTTCAGATATAATATGCATAAAGAACTGTAGCATTAGCACCAGTTATGATGCCATTGCACTTGAGAGCGGTTGGGATGAGTATGGGATTGCGTATGGCAGGCCCACAACAAGCATACACATCAAACAAGTACACCTTCAAGCATCTTCCGGTTCTGCTCTCGCTTTTGGTATCCCAATGCCTTACCCATTTTGAATCAGATCACCTTGAAGAACGTGATTGGCACGAACATCACGGTCGCTGGAAACTTCACCGGTATTCAAGAATCTCCATTCACTTACATATGCCTATCAAATATTTCATTACCAATTGTTGCTTGCTCTTCTACTTATTGGGTATGTTCAAATGTTTTGGGGTTCTCTCAATTTGTGTTCCCTAAACCGTGTCCGGACCTTGACAGCTCGTTATCAAATTCTTCCTCCTTTGCTTGTTTTTCTCTACTGAGTTCCTATGGTCAGGCTGCAGCTTTAAGATAACCATTTTCCGTACACCAAAAGGCTGAAATTGTTTCGCTGACTATGTCAGATTCTTTCCAATAAGACATTTTTCACCTTGTGCCGCTTTGAATTCTTGAATGTTACAATTTGCAGATTTTGTACAGTACATCCTCATTTCTTCATTCATGTGTAAGGAATTTTTGGTAGTTGATTATTTATTCTGAATTTGGTGCATTACATTATATTCCATTGTAAACCTTAGATGAATAATATTGTGTTAGATGTGAAAGCAGGGATTATGTGATTGGTATTAAGGGTGTTTTAGTTGTCCAACTATAAATAGAGTACAACCAAACCTAGCATTCTCTCTGTTTCTCTCATAATATTTATTTTTACATGTTTTGTGTGTGTATAAAAGAGCAGAATGTAGTTTTTCCTTTTCATTTGGCTTCTTTCTTTTACTTATTGATGATTGCCACAACAAATGATATGGATTATATTGGTTCAAATTGTTGTCTACTTTGTGAATTTAAATACATAGATTCATGACAACAAAAATTAAAACAAGAACACATGTTGGACATTACGACTAGATTAAACAGAAATACATGATACAACGAAATGGTAGAGAAATCAAACCGAAGCCTGCACAGAAGCAGTTTCCTTAAAACAGATTTTCGCCGCCTCACGGATTGAGTGCTTGAGGAATTCCGGCGTTTGTCTCCCAGGATACGACGGTTAAAACCCAACTATGCCAGAAGCACTTTCTGTCTAGCTAAGCGAACGAAACTGTGGCAGCATTCTCTCACTGTAGAAATTTCTGGCAAACTGACTAAAGAATGGAAGAAAACAATTTCTGTGTTTGAGACTTGACAGGAGGGTCTTAATTTATACATGTATAGGGGAGAGAGGAAGAGTCTCCAGCCTTTATAGCTGGTCACTAATGCACCATTAACCTTTATTAATGCACCATTAACCCCTGCAATAAAGGCAGGAGTTATAAACCCCATCAATGCAGGAGTTACAAACCCCATTAATGTTCTATTAAACTCTGCAATAAATGCAGAAGTTACAAACCCCATTAACTCTTTCATAAAGCTAACTTCATGGGATAATTTCTCATTCAATTCTCAATGGTTTTTGGCCATTCTATTTGTGGTGTAAAGATCTCATTGCAAAGTATTTAGACTCACTTGGACCCAACATGGTTGGGACCTACTTTAATATTTAATTAAAGTTACCAAAAATTCATTTTTTCCAACACAAATCACTATCATGGTGAAATATTTGCAGTATATTACACATTTTGGTTGCTATTGCAAAACATGCCCTTGGATAGTGATGCTCTATGTGTTTTGAGTTTTTGTAGCATTAATGGTGCGAGTCTAGTGTACAATGACTACCTTTTCACATGGAATGCTTACTTTGGTTGAGTTGGCCAATTATGGTTGGTTGGGGACACTAATGACATGGTGGTCTCGAATCACTAAATATATTCTTCGAAGTGTGAATGTTCTATTTTTAGAGTTTTTCTCTTTTGACAATGTAAGTGTACTGGGAGTAATGCTTGGCATAACATTAAAATTGTTCAATTACGATTTGTGTTATGGGTAGAAACAGTTTCTCCGCGTGTAATATAAAATTATGCACATCTAATTTTATATAAAAATGATGTACCTATTTTTATCAAACTTCAAATACTCTTACTAGTTTGTATTCACTCTCTATTTGGAACTGAAAAAAGAAAACAAAATTACGTATGTTAGTAGAGAGAAGAAGAAAGAGAATAGATTTTATTATTTTTTCCTCCTTGTTTAGATAAGTAGGTGAAAAAGAAAAAGGAAAAAACGTACTACATAAGAGAAAAAAAAAAAAATATTTCATATAATACTACTAAAGTGTCATTTTATTAGTATCAGTGTTTTTATTTTTTTTTATATCTGAAATAATAATTTTGATATTATGAAAAATAGTAATATGTTGTTTTTTCTCCTCCCCCAATCTCTCTATTTTTTGAGATATTTAGGGGTTGTTTGGGAAGTGTTAGATTAATATATTTTTTGACCTTTTACGAAAAAATGTGAAATATGGGTTGGATTTGAAATGATGTGGTAGAGAGGTAATGTAACTTAAATAAGATGATTATGACCTAAATAGGATAATGTGCTAAAATAACATGTGTTATTTTCAACACATGCCAAACAATTAGGGGTGCAACTTGAGTGGGCTTAACCCGAGCAACTTGTGCCCAGCCCGAGTTTTTTTAGGGCTTAGGTAACAATATCTTGTAATCTGAACGGGCCTGGGCAAATTTTTGATGCCCAAATTGTAATTCGGGCCGAGCCTAGGCAGAGTCAATGGCTAGCCTGAGCAACCCAAACCTGAATTGCATTTAATATATTATATAAATTAAATAGCTGGACCTTAATTTTTTATTTCTTTTTGGGTGGTCTTTGGCTCTTGGGATTAGCATCTTTTATTTTGACCATTAGATTAAAATTAAAAACAAAACCCTACCTTATCTATTATTTCTTCCCTCTCTCTCAGACTCATTTCATTTCTTCATGAGAGTTGAAGAATGGCAGACAACGACGCCGCCGCCACGAACAACGACGACGCCAATCTTTCGATTAGCTTCAACGCCACACAAACCTGGTAGATCCCTCTTTGTGTTTGTGTTTGTGTTTGTATTTGTGCTTCAATTTGTCTATTTTTGGTCACTCATCGTTCGATTACCACTCAAAACAAGTGATATGATTTTAGAGGACTTTGGACTAATTCCATTTGGATCGTGAAATCAATCTGGGAGTTGCAATAGTAGAGCTTGCACTTGTAAATCTTCTTTACTCATTTGATTGGGAATTACCTGCTGGGATGAAATTGAAGATATTGATACTGATGTCCATCCTAGTCTTACAATGCATTAGAGAAATGCTTTTTGCCTAATGCGTAAAAACTACTTTGTTTGTTGTATGGAATCATGAAGCACTATTTGTTGCCTTGTGAAATTTACTTTTATATGTAGCAGTGTTTGTGGTTGAGATGATGTTTAAGTTTGTTGTATGGACTAATGGACTTATGTATATAATGAAGCATTGTTTTTTGTATGGAAAAATTCAGAAGCTGTTTGTTGCCTTGTGAAATTCAGGCAATTCCGGCTAACCCGAGTTCAAATTATAAAGCGTGGTCCGGGCTTGGACAGCCATGCTCGGGTTGATGGTCGAGCTTAGGCACTGCCAAATATAATTCGGGCTAGGCTTGGGCAAACCTCCGACCCGACCGAGTTGCACCCCTATAAACAACCACTTAAAATGATGGTTTTAAGAGAAATTGATTTCTTCCACGTTATTCTATTTCTACACAGCTTTTTCCATCTTAGTAATCTAAACGTCTGGTGCTTCTATTTATACACCACCTTTCATCTCAAGGCACACCACTACTCAAGGCACATCTTTAGTAATTTGATAAATAAAAAATTTGCTCAATACACACCATAATCTTCCATCTTTACCCTTATTCACTCACATACCCCACTTGCAATCTTTAATCTTCCATATTTCCTGTAGTACACACCTCTACTTCAAAAACACACACGTTGTGAACATCCCCCTCCATTCTTTGTTTCATTGTCATCCCAGAAGTTTGGAAACCACTATAAACCAGTTTAAACCGGTCTCCATTCGTGCTGAAGACAACTTCACTCCATTCTCTTCCGGTTCACGACTTCACCCTTTAGTAATAAATTGACTTGTGTAGCCAACAAGACACTCAGATCCAACGTTACTGCATTCCATAGATGCACAGTTCTGGAAAAACAAAAAAAAATTGTTATAAGTGTTCGGAAATGCAAAGTCGAGCTAAATTCAAAAGTTCGACACACCTCCACTTCAAAAACACACACGTTGTGAACATCCCCCTCCATTCTTTGTTTCATTGTCATCCCAGAAGTTTGGAAATCACTATAAACCAGTTTAAACCGGTCTCTATTCGTGCTGAAGACAACTTCACTCCATTCTCTTCCGGTTCACGACTTCACCCTTTAGTAATAAATTGACTTGTGTAGTCAACAAGACACTCAGATCCAACATTACTGCATTCCATAGATGCACAGTTCTGGAAAAACAAAAAAAAATTGTTATAAGTGTTTGGAAATGCAAAGTCGAGCTAAATTCAAAAGTTCGATTGTTGAAAACCGAACAAATGCTATAAGTTCAAAACTTATTAACCGAACATGTGGACTATGTTCGACACTAGAAAATCGAACAATTAGAACTTGTTCGGTTGTAGATAGTCGAACATGAGTACATTGTTCGAATTTAGGTATCCGAACGAATATAAACAGTTTACCACTCAGCAACTACACAAAAACGGGCAAAAAAAAAAAAAAAAAGAGAAGATAAACTAACCTTTTCCTGGCTCCATTGTTCCAAACCAATATTGTCAGATGCATCTATCATTCAATCCAATCAAAATCTTCAATAATACGTATATTTTTTATTGTTTCTTTAAGGTTTTGGTTTTTGTTTCAAGATTTTTGGGTTCTTGAGAGAGAAGATATGTAAGTAACGTTTGAGAAGATAGGTGTGTATTAATTGTATTATTGTCCTTTATGATAATTTTTGATCATTTTACATTAGGTTAATATTGTAATAAAAAATAAACTAATTAACAATATGCCTTAAAATGAAAAGTGATATGTAAATAGAGGCACCCCTAAACGTCTGGTGTAACCTAAAACAATTACATTTTTATTTTCTATGACAACTAGATTGTGGGCATCACAAGTAATACTTTGATGATTCCATCTATTGATTTTCAAGATTTTATATGTAGATTATGGAAGTTTGCGAAAAAATAATTTATTTTAAAAAACACTTTTCAAAAAAACACTACCTGATATTTGCACCCTCTTTGATTTATTTTTGTGCATATATTTTCTACAGACCTTAAAAATTCTGATGGCTAATTTTTGTATCAAATACATCTGATATATATACACAACACATGATAGAGTTTGCATATAGGTGAGATCCTTAGGGATCTCTATCTTTTAGTTGTGGGGGATAAAATAAAAAATGTATCTTTTATCTTAAATATACAGGATATAACTTATCTAATTTTTCATTAATTATCTTTTAAACAGATAATATAGAACTTCCGCTAATTACAATAATGTCCATCAACACATTACAATTAAACCCCTAAAAGTAGAGAATTACAAGTGAGGCCCTTTCTTACAATTAATCACAAATTTCCTTCCACCAAACTATATTCCACATGAGCTATTAGGTATGGACAAATTTATCACTATCAAAAGCCCTAACTCATGTAACCGAATTCTAAATTTTTCCTTCTTCTAATTGGACCTTAAAAGCATTTTCCAAAAATAGCATTTTTACAATTATATATGTATAAAATATTTTTAGGAAATAGTAATCGGCTGGTTTCTTTTGGTCCAACGTTAATAGAAAAAATTACTTAAATATACTTTCTCACTTTGAGAATGGTGGATTCCATGTTAAGCACCTATATAAATCAATTACCACTCACATAACCCAACATGTCCGTGTATAGCCTTTGGTTCGGTGTCATCGATTGACAACGTCAAAGTCAAATGAATAGTTAATTAATTTAAACAAGCCTCTCACGTCAAAGGAAAATAAGTGTATTGTAATATAACTACCTTTTAAACTAACAGTGATCATGCCATATGTGTTCTTAAAACCAATCATGTTCAGTGCATGTACTTTTTGCATAATACTTACCTATTTGCTTAAGGTCACTATCTCAATGATGGAGTTAATCATTCTATCATATAGCAACAAAACAAGTGTAGGCCATAGTAGTGTGACGCCCAATCAACACCCATAACCTAGAACATTAATTGGGTCTACAAGGTACCGAAAAATCATAACTCTCAACTTTTGGTTCATTAACCATTAGCAAGTTTTTCTACAATGTTACCCAAGGGGCCTTATGTTCACATCATATGTAACATTAAATATAACATTACCCATAATAATAATATACAAAGTGCAAAATAAAATACCAAGCAATTTATTTAATCAGTCAATAAAGTCAACAAATTAGTTTTTGAAGGCACAAATGCTAACAGATTATACATAAAAACAATCAAACTAATCAAATAATTGTACTATCAGATTTTATTATATTTTTCTTTAAAAATATATTTCTCGCTCATTTTTTGAAAGATAAAAAATAAAATATGTAGATTATACATAAAAAAATCAAACTAATCAAATAATTGTACTATATGATTTTATTATATTTTTATTTAAAAATATATTTGTCATTTATTTTTTAAAAGAAAAAAAAAGGTTACTCAAATGAAAAAAAGGAAATTAGCATTGTAACCAAATAAAATCGAATTTTTAATTTTATCAATTTAAACTTTAAACTCTTGAATTATTTTTCAATCTAAACTATTTACCTATTTTCATTATATAAAATTGATAGAAAAATAAGTATTTAAGTTATTAAAATAAATGAAAATGATACTTTAGATATTTTATGTATACTTATATTGAGTTTAATAACTAATATATATATATATTTTATCGATTTTACTTAATGAAAATAGATAAATAATTTAGATTTAAAATAAATAAAAAATTTAAATTTAAATTAACAAAATTAAAAGGTGAAGGCTTATGTTTTTACATGGCTAAAACTTTAGGATTTTTTTTTGTCCAAATTAAAAATTAGAATATTTTTAACCAAAATTTTAAAATTAATGTTGTCACTTTTTAAAGGCAAAAACATCTTCATTTTTTTATACCTCGTTTGGAAACATATTATTTTAATAATTTTTCACAAAAACATATATAAAAAAATAATATGACAACTTATAATAATTTTTTGATAAAATAAAATGTTTAGTCTCCATTCCCTTTTTAATTTTTTTTTATTACAATTTCTATTTTAAGCTTCGTTTGGCACTAAGTGCGGTGGCCAATTTTTTTTGTGTTGGGACTTTTTTAACTTCGTTTAGTTTTTGTTTTTAGATTTTTTTTGACTTTTGTGTGAAAAAAAGTGTAATAATTATAATTTAAATGTGATATTTTATCTTATTAACTTAAATAACATATTTTGCCTTTTTATATTTTTTTAGTTCCAAAATGAAAATCAAACGAGGACTTCATAACCTAAAAAAGTCAAAAGTCAAAAGTAAAAAAGTCATTATCCTATATAAATCGCATCATCTTATTTACACATCAATTCAAATTCAATCCATACCGAACCCATATTTAATAAAAAAGTCAAAAAGTATACTTATTTAGATTATTCCAAACCACGGGAGCTTCTATATATACACACTCCCTTTCCTCTCTATACAAATCCTTCTCAATACACACACTAAAAAAATAAATCCTAATATATTTGACTCACTACACACACCTATCATTCCACATATACCCCCAAATGTAAATCACACACACACACCCCCTCACACACACACACACCCATGACAGACCCCTCACACACACACACCCATCTGAGAACCCCTCTCACACACACACACACCCATCTCTCACACTCTCCACCGTTCCTCCCCAAAAGCTTCATCCATCCATTTGTGTCATTGAAGTATTGGCATTGAAGGGCATTGAAGAGCATTGAAATTTTCACATTTTAGGTTAGTTTACACAGATTAGAATCTTGTCATTCCTATTTTATTTGTAATGTAGGGTTAATTTTTACCATTTTCAAAATTTTCAGTCCACCCCAATGTAAGTGATTGTCGTGTTTCATTCGGAACTGGTTATTCGAAATTTTTGTTTTTGTTTGGCATTAGAGTTCCGAAATTTCTGCTTCTATTCGGCACTATAGTTCCGAAAATATTTACTTAGTTCGGCTTTCAAGTGCCGAAAATAAATTTTTTTTTCGGTTTTCAGCTTCCGAGTAGTAGCTATAATTTCGGATAACAACTTCCGAACAGAATAGGTATTTTCGGACAACAACTTCCGAACAGAATAGGTGTTTTCGAACAACAACTTCCGAACACAAATTTTTTATTTTTTATTTTTTTTTCCCTTCTAACACTTAATTAAAACACTTAATTATAACACTCACTACACACACTCTCATTAATTTTACACACGCTCTCTCATTATAACTTAAAACACTTATTATTTACACACACACTCATTACACACACACTCATTAGACACACACTTATAATTTAAAACACTCTCATTAATTTTACACACACTCTGTTTATTTACACACACACTTAGTATTTTTTGCAGATAATATGGATTCTGAATATCAACAGCGTGTCCCACCTACTGCTTCAAATAGACGACGTCGTGAATTGGATGTAGACCATCAACGGGGACGAGGGCGTGGGCGAGGACGAGGTCAAGGTCGTGATCCAGTTTCGGTAGAATATGATATTCCCAATGCCAGTCAAAGTGGGGGCCGAAGCCAAAGACGAGTTGAAGGTTATGATATGCCTGACATTGCTGTGGAGGATACCTCTTTACCTGATTCTCCTACTGTCCAGGAAGAGTACCTTACTCATGCTTTTCCAGGTGGACTGACTGATCCGTCAATACTGCGGAGTTTCAATAGTCATGTGGCTACAACTATTTGGCACGGGGAGGTAAACATTCCTCAGTAAAACTGAAATTCATTTGTATATGAGTTTTTTTTTTTTTTTTTTGTGTGTTGTATGGTAGTTTGTAATGAGATATCATTTGTGTTGTAGGAACGAGGGCCCCTAAAGTGTCATAATCACTCTTCCAAGATCCTTGCATGGCCATGGTGGTTAGTAGAGAACAACACCAGATTCAAAGCCATTATTGAGCAGTCTGGACTGTCACAGTTAGCTCGTTGCACTTATCGGTTCGTCAACAAACTTCTAATCTCCAGTTTTGTTGAGAGATGGCAACCTGAGACGAACACATTTCACATGACAGTTGGTGAGATGACCTTGACCCTGGATGATGTTGGCACTATTCTTGGCCTTCCCATTGTAGGCAAATCAGTCAGCATACCAGATGTGACAGATCATCATGGAGTTACATTACTCGTTTATGGCTTGGGGATTACTGAACGTGCAGCACA